CTGGGGAAAATCTTCCTCCAGTGAGCATAGGCACAGAATTATATCAGACTTGGATCCAAGATTTGCCTTACTTTTATCTATCTAAGCAAGAAACTGATGCAGAAGACTATTTTTCTTTAATTCCCTGGTTTAGACAAGTAATAATGCCTTTTTCCATCTTTTTTTACATGGGTTGCCAAGACGCTCATCTGTCAATATAGAAAAATAACTGCTTGTTTATCCAAATGAAGTTTTGAAATTATGTGTTTTTGTAATACAAAAGAATAATTTTGTCCAATCAAGAGAGCTGATTGTAATATCAGAAGAATTGCATGTTCCTTTCAGGAAACAAAACAAAACAAAACAAAACAAAACAAAACAAAGCAGGATAGCAAAAAAAATAATTTTACAACTGACTGAGGTTCATTCTTATATGTTTTTCTTTCTCTTCCTTTGTTTTTAAGAATTGTTCCAATGAAATCTATTTTACATGTGATATCTAAATAAGCATTACTGTTCCACTGCCTTTTTTATCCTATCTGTGAAAAAGGCTTGCTTTAGTATTTTTCATTTTAATATTTTTGGGAAGGATTGACTAGGTTTTCTTTTTATATGGCAATATTTTTATTTGTGTGGAATTCTAGATATGATATTTTTACAATGATCTTAACCTAGGCATTTATATAGGTGCCAAAATGAAAAATCAGGAACAAATATTTAGGTAATTAAAAAAAAAATCCTAATTATAATTATCATTAGACCAAATAGAGGAAAAAATGACCTCATTAAATATTTTACTGTAATAAAACTTCATAGAATAGTTCATAGAATTGTTGCAGTACTGGCTTTTTTTTTTTCTTTATGAGTTGTACAGATATGGCAAGAAATGACCATGCAAGATGGCAAAGGTATAAGTGAGAAGGATGAATAAAAAGACTTCTGGTTTTATGTATAGTGACTACTTTTTATCAAAGATTTTACTGTGCATTCGGCATTATGAACTCATAATATGCAAATACATTCTGCTGTTAATACACATTCGCAGCATACAAGTTAGTGGTACCAGAGGAGCTGTTGCAAGATATGCTGTGAATATGTATTAGGAATAATATGCAATATGTAACTAAGAGCATTCTATATTATGGAACTATAATACAGAATGCACAATCTTTTTAATAGCCATTCATAGCATACCCTATGACAGCTCAAAAAGAAGCAATTGTACTGTGTACTACGAATTTGTAGTAAAGATAACACACCAACATATTTTTATTTTTGTGGAATTCCAGATATGGTTTTTTCACAAACCTCATTTGATATCAGCAGTTAGTTTGATATTGCTGAGAAATAGTAAGGTAAATTCCATGAATACTCACAGCACTTAAGAAAATGCATGAAATACTAATGTAGAATATTGCTAGCTCTACGTACTGTCCAAGCTGCAGAAGCAACAGGAGCCCTGTTAACTTGAAAAGCAATAGAAATATTTCTCTTAGTTTTTGTTTATTTACTATATGACTTCTGGGATTATTATAACTAAATGGATTAGGTAAATTAAGAAGTTATGCCATATTTACTAAGTATCTCTATAGTTCAGGTTACAGAAAGGCATTCAGTTAGTCACATTTTTTTATCAATACGCCCTTAAACTTCCTGTCCCTGACTAGAAAGATGCTGTTGCCCATCTGCTTGTCTTTGCTAACATGATCTTTAGTGACAAGACAAATTCCAAATAATCTTGAATGTATTAAAAAAATGCTATATCCTTTGAAGTGTTAGAAACATTCACTTTTGTTGATTTTCGAGTTTTTTCTGAAATCTTAAATAAGTTTCTTTATTAACATTACATTGCAATGCAAACATCTTAATTACCCAAAAGAATATATGCAAATTAACTGTTGCAATCCAGAACACTTAGTTGCACTTGAATATTGAATAATTCTTCTTGACTTATTTGTAGGAATATAATGAATTACCAGTTGACATTTTGTTGTGATGAAATGTCAGTTTGCATGCCTCAATATATGATCTGTTACTTTTTCATGTGAGATCTATTACCTGCTTGAGTGAACTACTTGCTTGAGCTTGCTAAGGAATAGCTGAAACTACCATAAAACATGCCATGTGATGTGTTTTGCCCTAAGTAGGATAAAGCTTGTTGAGCAGAATTCTTCTTTCATGCAACTCCTTTGACTTCATCGGAGTTATATCACAGATATTTAAGCTCAGAATATTTTATTTTGCGTTACATCATAATTTACTGATTTTAATGAAACCTTTGCTGACAATATTAGAAAACAAAAGGTCCTGGAAATATTTTACCACAACAAAATAGCTTATTATAAACAAAAAAAGGAAATGGAGAAAAATACCTTTCCACATTTTAAATTTGTACTTACAGAGTTTAATTCTCTATTTCTAGTCTGAGCCCGCATAAAGCAGCCAATAAGCCTTATATTGTTCCCTTTCTCCACACTGTGGAATACATCCTGTGGCAGAAAAACATCACACCTGGACAAGATTCATTTATGGTATAAAGACTTCTTCTGTCTGCTTGGGCAATATACAAAATTACCTCTGATATAGCAGGAGAACATTATTTTCTGCTTCTGGAAGAAGTTAAATTTGTGTGTATTTTATTTCGTTTTAGGCATCCTACTGTTTGTTTGTCTCGATTTTTGTGCTCCTTGGAGGTGGATTTCCAGGGACTAAGAGGGATTCGTTGCCCTGTTAGCACCAGCTGGTGTCTAAGGCACTGTCAATCCCACAACACTCCAGCTGCTATGTTTTATAGCGTACAAATGCTAATCTACCTCACAGCTGCATCCAGCTCTGTTCTGGCATATGACAGTTTACATGGCTTTTAAACGGGATGTTCGGGAGAACGGTAATATACAAACTAGGCTATGAAAATCAAGAACCAAAAGTATTCAAATCCAAGCATGCCACTATCCTTCAAATTCCCCTTACTGTTCTTCTCACTGCTGAACTTCTCATATTGCACGTAATCCTTTTTTCACTCTAAATTAAAAAAACAACTTACAAGCTTCAGCTGTAATACCATTATTTTATAATACAGCATAATTTGTTTTTAACCTCAATTCTCCTCCTTTATCCTTTTTATCCATAGCAGTTTTTCCATTTCAGTGTTGCTACCTTATTAAAATTTAGGGCAGAGATCCTGCCCTGATTCTATTCCTGAAAAGAGCTATGAAGTTTAGCGTGATAAACATATGTTAAAAATACATGTTACAAAATACATGTTCTTAGACATACCAGCAGGAGGACTTGAACTCACAGATACTAAAGCACAAGCAGTCAATCACAGAAAGGTTTACTAAATTTTTTTGTCCTTCTCTCAGACATAATGTAAGCTATGTAGAGTGTTGAGAAGGGTGTAAAATGTTTCCAGTTTCCACCGTTTCTGCTGACAGAAGGAAGTCAGCCTCAGTTTAAGAGTGGCCTTGAGGAGGGAAAGGAAACTTTAAGGACTAGAAGACTATTTGGGTAGCTACACTTGCACTGATCAATAGATTATAGGTTTTGATCACTTCACTCTGTAAGCAGCAAAATTTTTATTGAAATACAAATTATGCACTGGATGAGTATAAATTCTCTATAGTGTAATTGAGAAGAGTAATTAATTCTGCTCCACAACGTCCTTCACAAGAAATTATCTGATATCCAAAAAAATTTAAAGACTAAAAGTTTGACTTGGAAAATTCAAGACAGGAATATAGCTCAAGTTTTTAATAATGTAAATAAATAACCATTGCAGGAGTTTATTTTGGGATATTGTGGATTTACTTTAAATCAACAACTTGTGTCTTTCCAAAATACTTTCTCAAGTTCAGTGACAACTCTTTTTTGGCTGGAGGCAATATTTATCTTAGGACTTGTGTAAGAGCTCAGATTAGAAACTGATGATGGCCCATTTTGTCCCAAAAACCAACAACCATTAAGAAATAATTCTGCAATTTGTCCACTTTTAACAGGAATCTGTTTTACAATAATTTTTAATAGGAAAAGAAACTTGGAGGAGGAGGCTTCTGGAAATCTTCTAGCTGCCTGCAACCTGTACTTGCTGCCTTTTACAAGTGTTCTGAGCTTCCCTTCACAACTATTTCACAACCTGCCATTCTGGTCTAGGAGAGCATACCTGAATTTTATGATCTGGTAATGAAATAATATATCGGAATACATATGTGCAACAGCCCATAACTAGGTTGCTGTAGCAAGATTCACCATACCTCACATGTGTAGCCTACTTGAAGGGCTCCTGATTGGAGTCTCAACTGCCCACTTCCTAAAAATTCCAATGATAACATTTTAGAAGGATAATTTTTTCTAAGGAAAAGAATAAAACAATTAGCTTACTTTAGATCAACTGCATATTTGTTAGAACTATATTGTACTATCAGGAAAGTGCTATATTGTTGGCTTATTTCGATGAACTTTGCTTATCGGTGGTATCTCATCAACAGCGACCACATACGGATCCATCAGTTCACAATAACTGCAGCTGTTGGTATTTAGTTTATTGCTTGTTACACAATATATTTAATATGTCATTTCAGTGAATTGTACTTTTTTGTATATCGAATTCTCTTAACTTATTTTGATTGATTTTGCTTAGGGTTATCTCAGACTGCATCAGCTGTGTGAGATACGGCAGTATCAGCTGAATCGACTGAAGATTTTCTTCCTTTTGTTTAGTTGTTTTAAAATATATGTAGGCTCCTAGCAGCTATACATTTGAAACTTGGCTGCGTGAGCTCATCCCATCATCTTTCTGAAGAAGATAAACTGAATTCCATGAAGTTTACTAAGTGTGTTTCACAGATAAGGCTAAAAAAAAAAAAAAAAAAAAAGCTGAAACTTATCTGCTTTGCATAGGCATTTATTATCCAATGAAACTTTTTGAAGACAGGGTGTGGTTGGCTAAATTATTGCTCCTCCCACTGTTCTCTGCTATGTTTCCCGTTTCAGAGGGAAAAACACAAGTTTGGAAGTTGAGGAGTATGAGTCATAACATCTCTGCTGCTACTGAGTCACTTGGGAGTCTTACTTAGGTAAGTCATTATACCTTATGTCTCAGTCGCTCTGTCCCCACAAGAGAGAAGAAAGGAGAAGTGGCACATGCTGGAACTACCAGAACCTTATGCAATGCTTTCTTAGATGAAAAGTGTAGCTACTAATATTACTGTATTATTATGCAATAGAATACATAATGTTGTGCACCAGAAATGGAATTTTTTACTTAGCTTTCCCACGCAGAGCATATTTTTTCCATTTTATCACAAAAAAGTATAAATAAAGATTATGTTGTACCAAAAAGCATCTAAGTTTATTGCAATACTTTTAAAATGATTGTATTTCTCAGAGGAAAACATACGCACCTTAAATAGGAGTGGGATGCAACTGATAAGAAATGCTATCTTTGTCACCAATAGTCACTAATGGTAAAACTATACAATGGTGTAAAATTATTGATGACTTCTGAGTAAGGTGAGGCCCTAAAATGTATGGTGTCTCACACAGGAATGGTTCCTAGTTAGGGATTCACACTCCGTAACGGTTGGTTTGCAAACATTGCAGGGAAATACTAACTTTTCAGAGGGGCACTTCTAATACCTGAGCACATTCCTTTGCATTTATAGTATCAAAATCAATATCCATCAGTTATCTGCTCTTATGTTAGGACATAGATCGTTTATAACTTCATTGATTTTTTTTTCTGTTTAGTTTCAGTTTCTCACATCTGTTTCTCAGATGAGACATATGGTAATAAACATTGTGTTTGTAAATCTTACAGAAATTACAGTCTTTGTTAGAGAAATGTGATACGTTGTGACAGTGTGAGCTAGGCAAGGCGCTCAGTGTATGGAGACTCATGTGCACCTGAGGAACTGAAATACTCCATGGTGTGGGCAGGAACAGAGTTTAAGGCTGATGACCAAATCAATCCACGTAATAGGAAAGGTACTTCTTACCCAGACAAGCACAAATAAGCCTACTTCGCAGGTGCTAGTGGACAAAGTGGTTTGCTCTCTAGGGTTTTACTTTTGCAAAGTCTTTGTTCTCCCCTGCCGTGTTCTTTTGAGTATTTGTTGTGTGGATGCTTTAAAATCCTTTCTATGTACATGCGTGTATGTCGCTGCTTAGAAGGACAGGCGAGCACTACACGGTGCTGGAACTGCACGCGGGGCTGGGTGGGAGGCCGGGCGAGAGGCGCGCGCGGAGGCCCGCGCGGGCTCACGTGCCTGCTCAGCCCCGCGTGTGAGGTGCAACTGGTTGAAGGCGAACAACTTCTGAGCCAGCGGCCGCGCTAGTAAAAGTGTCCCTGCACCGCTGCCAGGCGCTACAGCTGCAAGCCCTGTCCAGGCATGAAAGCCTCCCTTTCAGATTTCTTTTTTTTTCTTTTCCTTCTTCCCTTCCTTCTGCTTGACGGCTTTCGGCCTCCTCGGGAATTTCCGCGGCGAGAGGCCCGGCTGGGGGCGAGGGGGGGCAGCGAGGCGCCCCCCGGGTCCCGGCCCGCTCTGCACAGCCACCGCCCCCGAGCCGCGGCCGGCCCCCGCCCCC